TCTACTCTTAAATAATCTATTTATTAACTCATACAGATTTAATTTAATATTACTACAATATCTAACTACTTAAGCTAGCTAGCTTATTATAGATCTATTTATTCAGAATAGTTTAGATCTTCTTAAGATATATTATATCTAATATATTGTTAGTATTGCAGAGCTAGTTAACTTTGAAATAAACTTATTAAAGCTAGTATTAGCAAATAATCTAAGTTATAACATTTTTTTAATATAACTTTAGTTATATAATTATATGACTTGTTATAGATTATATACATAGATTATATTAAATAATAGATCTAGTGACCTAGTATAGTGGTCAAGTTATCAGACTGTCATATAATAGGTCTGAGGTTCAAATCTCACTATTGACAAATTTGAATAATATCTAGACCTGTATACTAAACTTATGGAAAACTCTGCTTATTCCTGAAAAGGAAGTCCTAAAGGATGTGATAAAACTCTGTAAAAAATAGCATTGCACTAAGTCAATCAGACATTAGAAGTATAATAGTAACATTACATGAATAAATCTGCATTAGATATATAAGCAGGGGACCTGCATAGTAGAAATTCTGAATTAGTAAAGTAGTATAGCTTTTAACGGTTATATCAGCTAATACTTAATCTAAAAAGAAACTGTTTTAAAAAATGTAAATCAGAATAGATACAAGTAAATCCATATTCCTGATAAAGATTAGTAGCACTAACCTGACTTAGTAGCTAACTAGATTTAGGAGAATCTACTTTGTGAAATATCTAAAGAAATTGATTAACACAAAACCAGTAGAGAGCTATGGTAGGAACTGGGGTTGTATGGATATCTACAAGGATCTAAGCTAGATAAGTCTGTGAAATAGGTATAGGCTACTCTAGTAGGTTTGCTTTGAGGTTAACTAGAGCTCTGCAAAACTCATAATATGTTGAGTACAAGTATCCTGAGAGGATCTAAACTGAAGTTAATAAATAGATCTGTAACAAACTAGCTGGCTTAAGTGATTAGATATTATAGTGATATTAGTTTGTAACAGTATAGGTTAGTTAAACAGAGTATTTAAATAGATAATTCACAGGCAAGTTACAGGTATAGTAGTATAGTGTAGTACTAACAGATGGTCTAATGCCTGCATAGCAGACTACTTAAATTAGACAATAACTAAAGTTATATATATAGCTTATTGTATACTCTTCATGTAATTACAAACTATAGGAGAACCTTATGTGGAACCTCATATATTAAACTAATAAAACTCACTTGGCAATATAAGCCACCTTAAAAATAAAAAAAAATAAAAATAAATTATATTAATACAGTCTAGGAATATACCAAATTTAGTAGATTTAAAAATCAGAGTTCTAGAATGATCTATGAAATTTAATTGGCTTTGTCATGCTTTTTCTCTCTTGAAAGTTTCACAAGATTTTATATTACAGTATTATTACTTATTACTAAATGATATACAAATAGTTAGTTTAAAACGTCTACTTTTGATCATCTCAATTAATCCCTTATTATAAGCAGATTTAAAGAAAGTAAATAAGACCCTAAGTTCAGGGATTTCTTGATGTATTTTTTGGTTAGAATAAAAGAATTTTTAACTAAACGTTCTTTTAAACAATTTTTTTTATAGTGTCAAAATACTAGAAATATAAAGCCTAAGATCGTAGTTGTATTTTCGCAGATTTAGTTATGAGATATAAGGATGTTGAATTAAGTCTTTATAAAACTGAAAATTGAAAATAGTAGAATGCAGATAGCCAGAAAGTAGCTAAGTGACTTGTACTTTTTAGAACTTATTTTCTCAAACTTGCTAATTACTCTTTAGAATCTCACTCACTTTGTCAGAAATATTATAATCAAATAGTCTTATCTAACCAATTTTATGAATATCTTTTAGATCTTTTCAGTTCTATTCAACAAGGCCAACTTGATACTAACATGGATATTCAGACTAGTTATGCTAATCTAATGGTTAAGCTTGCTAACACTAAAAGAATTTTAGAAAGTGCTGAGTAAGAAAATAAAGTACTTTGTAGTAGAATTGAAAGAATGTAGCAATATTTAGAAGAGCAAGAGAAAGAAGTAAAAGAATTAAATAAAAAATTACAAGAGGCCTATGAAGAAGTAAATATGTTTCGAAATTTGTATCAAAATTAGTATGAAAAGAATAGAGTTTTTATTAAACAATAGGATTCAAGATTTTTTAGTCAGCAAAAACGTATTAATGCAGTTATTAAGATAGCAAAAGCAGAACACGAGCTATTATTTGATGATATTAGTAAGTTATTATTTGAATTCTAGGTTTTTTGTAC